ATCTGAGTGGGGGGCTGTACTGCGCTTGTTGAGTACAGCCCAAATCCACTGAGAAATTGGGGGGCTATACGGTAGGCAACACATCCACTGTTTTTTTTTTTTTTATCTGAGTGGGGGGCTGTACTGCGCTTGTTGAGTACAGCCCAAATCCACTGAGAAATTNGCTTGTTGAGTACAGCCCAAATCCACTGAGAAATTTTTGGGGATGGGGGGGGATGTGGGAGGGTTGGGGGGGGAGGGGGGGAATATAGGGGGTTGTATGGGGGGGTATAGGGTTGATATAGGGGTTATTGGGGGGTTATGCAGGTGTTGGGGAGCGGTTTGGGGGTTTTGAGGAGGTGTATGGGGGTGTTCGTGGGGTTATTGGGGGTTCTGGACCCAAAAAAAAAATATTTTGAAGATTGAATTGTGCTGAAGGCCTGAAGTGCAAATCGATTGTAACTGTGGATGGTTGTCATATCCTCACTAGTTTATCGAATCTTCTTGCTTTGTAGTGGTGTGATGCCGAGAGGAGTATTTATAACAGTAGTCAAGCGGTTGCTTTTTTTTTGTGCATCTCCAGAGGGTGGAGGCCATGAGATACAATTTAGAGATCGTGCATCCTCAGGTAAATGTGCATCCTCAGGTGCTGCGGCATCTCCAACTGTCGGGCCCCACCTGGTGGTTCAAGATGCTGCGAGGCTCAACCACCCCACGCCAGGCCCTTCCGGAAACTCTCCCTTCTGAAAACTGATGCAGGGCCCTTGCCTCACGCTCTCAACCTCCTTTCAGGGCGTCGGTAAGTTGGTAACCACCTGACACTGGGCACAGGGCCTCCCCAGTTGCTAAAAGTAGGCCCCCAGCAAATATTGAGGCCCACCTTCACTTAGGGCGGGCACAGCAAGTTATACGGGGCTCTGCCGAGGCTGCTGCTAACGGTCCGGATTCATCGAAATGTTGGGCTGGCCCGAATGCATCTGGTTAATGATCCCATGCAGAGAGATGTGGAATGATGTTTTGTGGAGCGATGCCAAGTACAAAACGAAATGGAGCCTGAGAATACAAACAAAAACGAACCTTGTCAAAGCACGGGACAAAAACACTGGCTAAAAGACAAACTACCACAATTGGGCGATCGGCGCTGTGAGATATTCTTGGCGACCCGCATCTGCTGCCCTTGCTCCTGGTGTGCTGTCATTAACGGGATCGCAGTGAACAGGTACGGTAAGCCTCACTGCGGACTGCCAGCCGTCCATCATGGAAAATCGATGGCCTTCAACAGAGAATCTCACCTTCACATCGGCCCGCAGCAGATCACAACCCTCACCCCGCGGCCTACGCGGCGTAAGGGTTAGGGTTCTCCTTTTGGCCTGTTCCTGTGCTCCTTCCGGTCATCTGTTTAACCTTCTCTCATTCTTTTTCTCAGAAGTTTCTCCCCTTTCTTTCTCTCTTGTACTCCCTTTTTCATGCTCTCTTGATATGATGGTAGTTATAGGAACAAGGCAGAAGGGGAATGTTAGACTAATCGTTCTGTGGGACAGTTGCATATCGTACTGTTTCTAGCACGATGTGTCCCCCACGAAAAGAACGTCTCAGACGATGTGCCAATTTATTTGATATGTGTTTGTGTGCTTTGTCTTTTTGTTTTCATTTGTTGTCTGGCGCCAGGTCGGAAGGTTGCCTAAGGGCCTGCCTTCATCATCATTTGAACACTTTGACTGGGATCAGACTAGCAGAGCATTGAAAGTCGCAGCGATCACCGCTTTTGTTGCATTAACAGTATGTAATCCTCCCTGTCAGCCGGATTCCTTCTGGGGAGACCGGGAGAAGCTCTCCTTTTTTTTTTTTCATTTTCTTTTCACCACTGAGGCTTTATGATTTGAGACGGTGGAAAATTGTCTTCACTGGCCTGAAACATTCGGCAGTGAGAAAAACGAATCAGTGAATCTAGTGTGGTTCTCAACCCCAGAGCATTGCCATTGCTGTAAGAACCCCAGGCCATTGTTACAAGTGAGAAATTGAGATCAGGGGGGATTCAGTTGCGCTGAAGCACACGAGAGCAACACATGTGAAGGGGGCTTTCACCATCGAAGACTTCAACACATGTGATCATTGCTTTGCGAATTCTGTGAATCACCTTGTTGCCATGTCCATGTTTACAGTTAATGATGCTTGTACTTTGAGTTCCTTTGGAGCAGGTTCATTGCAAAACAGTAAACACACTGTTACCACAGTAGAAAAAAAAGTCGAAGAAAGAAAGGAAAACTTGAAAAGAAGTAACAGCGGCAGGGTTGCACACTGATGCCGGCCGCCTACCGTTTTGCAGCCTACCAGTGGGGCTCACCGGTCGGCGGTCTGCCGACCAGTATGTAGAGGGCCATCCACTGTTTTGTTTTTCAAATTTGCATTCAGGGCTGTACTGCGCTTGCTGAGAACAGCCCAAATCCGCTGAGAAACCTTTGGGGATTCTGGGAGGGAGGGGGGGGTTAGGTGGGGGGTATGAGGGTGTTGGGGGCCAGTATGGGGGGTGCTGAGGGGTGTATTGGGGTGTTGGTGGGGTTAATGGGGGTTATGGACCCCGCAGGAAAAAGAAATTGGGGGGTGCTGACAGACCGTTGACCTGTAGGTGCCGAAGTGTGGAACAGTCGGCTGGTCGGCAGCCGACCAATCCAGGGATGCCGGCCTTCGGCGTGACTGCTTCGAACAGAGTTAAAAAAAAGGCAACAGCTAAAGAGAGTATCAATCATTGAATAAATCATGCTTCGACACTGCAAATTCTTTCATTACTCTCATGTTTGGAGTCGGGTTCAGAGTTAGGTTTGGAGGCTTACTGTGCATATGGACTTTTGAAATTGTGTTGTATCAACTTGTATGTGATCTTGCTGATGGTTCTGCAGGAAGCTGTGGCGATTGGAAGAACATTTGCTATCAAGAACAACTACCACATCGATGGCTCAAGAGAGGTGATACAATCACTGTCAAACTCGGGTTAACCTAAAAAAGGATGATAGGGTTAAGGAACCCTGGCACTGAACCACCACTTCCCCTGATGCCTTTGTTTTTTTTTTTTTAATAATTCTTGCGCAGGGGCCATGTTAATCTTCTCTGTATCGTTCCAATTTTAACGGATGTCCCGAAGGACACCCCTGATGCCATTTTAACAAACTGACAACCCTTTTGTCCAAGACTGGCCAACTGAACCAAAACCATGTGGGCCTACTGGAAGTAGGAGGTAGAAAAAAAATTGTGTTCTTTTGTCGCCAGCACTTTCTTGTCAAGAGGCAGTCTGGACTGTGATCCATAAGCTACCCTGAAGGTGGTCCACGTGGGGCCGCAGACAACCGGTACCTTAGTTTTCAGCCTGGGCACCAGGAGGCGCAGATCATCAAAACATGGCCCCGACGTCAAACCTTTTAACAAGGGGTCTCTAACTGCTTGTTTATGTTAGGTGAAAAGGCCACATCTCTTTGCCACAATGTGTTTAACGGAACTTTAACCTCACTGGATCACTGCACCAGATGTTGGAGGCGAAACAAAGTGTTGTATCTCGTCCTCCTTTTTGTTCTTCTTTGTAAAGATAGACTTCTGTCCACCCTATACATGGCCAGCAAAAGGCAGGGTGCATCCAGGTCGTTGTGTTGTCGATGCCATGGATGTGAGCACATGCTTTTTTTTTTTTTTTTTTTTTTTTTTTTTTTTTTTTACTTAAATCAGGTCCTTATGGTCCTGGCTCCATATCCATTCTGGGGAGCGCCAGTCCGGTTCCTTTCCACCAGCAAGTCGAGAATGAACTACATGGTGAACACCCACACGCTTCCTTCCGTCTGACCAGCATTGATTGCTCCCTATCAGGAGGATTGACTGTCAGCTTGCCCTACCTCATTTCCTCTCATAGTCTACATTGTCTCTGCCAGATAGTACTTGTAAACCAAGAAATGGGGAGACTTGTCTAGACTGTTGAGATTATAATCTCAGTTTGCTCCTTCTTGGATCCCTGTTCATGTGCTGTGCCAATTCTTCCACACCATTCGGTTGTCCATCACAGTAGCGATCTTTCCTTGTAGAAGCCAGTCTTTTGTAAATTTGTGTCTCTTGGTGGCTGTTCTTTCTGGTCTGCCTTTCGTCTTCATGGTCACTTCTCGCCATCTGGATCGAATCTTTGCTTCAGCAGTAGAGCCCACATTTCTTCTCTTGGCACCTCGGTTCCTTCGATCGTCTTGGAGCACCTCCTTTTCCAGATTACCCATAGAGCCAGCTTTCTGAGTAGGTGGAACCACACTTCCTTGCCGCCTYTGAGATTGTTAGTGTCGTTRGATAGGAGCAGGATGTTCAGGGGGGYTRTGGCCGGSKGGSGTGAAGARAAGAGAGAGGTCCATAGGACGCGCACTTTGTTCCAGATCCACGTTGCTTCCGTGCAGTATAAGAGGCAGTGGAGTGTGTCCTCCACAGCGTTGTCTGTGCACAGTCTGCATATCTCAGTGCTGTCGGGGTCTGTGTGTTTTCTTCTCTTGTGGAGCCACTGATTGGTTGGCAGAGAGGCGTGTGCTAAGAGCCATTGCATGCTTCGAATCCTAGCCGGTCTAATGGTTAGGAATTTAGTCCAGGGGATGGTTATGGGGGTCGAGGGATCCAGACTCAGTATATCCCTCCATTTGCTTCTGAGTTTGGGGTCTGGGTCTGTGGTCTGTAGGCCTAGATCATAGCCGAATTTGACATCGTATTCTGCTATAGTTCTCGTCCTCCCTGAGTTTCCCTCTTTCCATATCCATTCTTTCGGGTCGAATTCTAGCTTTGAGATGCAGAGATCCGGTCGGAAGATTTTGCAGGGTTTGGACTTTGATACCCTCACTTTTCTCAGTCGGACAGTCTCCAGCCTCTCGCTCTGGGGGTGGTTGTTCTGAACTTCCATTTCATTTGTGTTGTGTTTCACTACCGGCTAGGAATAGAACTTGTATAGGTAGCCGGGTGGGTCTGTTCTAGCGACGAATCTGTATGCCCTGGTAGGCTGGGCTTGGGAGACTAGTATGCCCCAGTCCCCGGATTTCCACGAGAAATCCTCTCTTAGGAGTGGGAGCCATTGTGTTGGGATGCTATTTTGGATCAGTGTTAAGTTATCGGAGAGGGCGTGGAAGCCTTTTAGTGTGGCTCGTAGCTCCTGATCCGTAGCCCACCGTCCTTGGTCTTCTACCAAGATGTGCTTGACCTGCCATACTCCTTTTTCTACCCATGATAACCATCTGCGGTCCCGAGAGCGTAGAGTCCAGGTTGTACCGCTGGGGTCAGTGATCCAGGGATTGCAGAAAAGCGGTTGTCTCAAGACTTCTTCTCTGTTTCCTGGTGCCCCGTGTTTGCTCGACATCATTTTGCGCCAGGCCATGATGGTGGGGCACTGCATGAGTTGGGTATGTGTTGAGCTGTGCAGGATTGTGTTGTGCGGGGTTTCTTCTGCGTGGTCTGCCGGACTTGATTGTCCAGTCCTTTTCCATAAGCCAGAACAGGCCGTTCATGTTTCGAGGGGAGATGATGGGAGCTAGGTTTCTGATGTTGTCCAGCGCCATTTGGGTCCACGGGAGGAACTGTCTGGTGAGAATCTTGATTATCCATTTCATCTGCAGTGCTATGGATTCCTGTTTTGGGTCAATTATCCCGAGGCCCCCTTCCTRTGGCTTCCTAGTGATGTGGTTCCATGCGACCCTGTTGATGCAGGTGGTCCTGTTGGGGTCACCTGTCCACAGGTAGCACCTTACCCTGTTCTTGAGCTCCTTGAGGTCGTCGCCGGGGGGGGACCATATTGATGCCATATACCACAGTGTGGAGAAGATCGTTGTGTTGATCAGTAGTGCCCGTCCAATTAGTGAGGCCTGGGCGTTTTTGCACTGGGCCAGGCGAGTGATTGCTCTTGCTATTAGGTTCTGACCCATTCCCGGCCACACTCCTTCTTTGTTGATCATGATGCCCAGGAATCGTAGTGCTTGCTCTCCCGTGGTCCAGGTCATTGGTGTGGTTGTGTCCGGGGGTTGGGGAGGGGTGTCGTCTGCTAGCCACCATCCTTCGGTTTTATTCCAATTGACCCTCATTTCTGATGCGAGTCTAAATGCTTCCATTGCCTTAACCAGCGATTGGAAGGAGCTGTTGTTTGCTCTAATGAGTACCGTAAGGTCGTCAGCGAACATGAGTGCAATGGGTAGGGCGAAGTCGTGTAATGGGTTGAAGTTTCGTTCTGTGAAGTGGTCAATGGATGGGTCTTTGCGGAGAAATGAGGCTATGGCTTCCATTATGAAGAGAAAGATGGGGGGGGCCAGTGGGTCACCTTGTCTGACTGATCGTGAGATTGGGTAGGTTTCTGGTAGGATTCTATTGACCTGGACTCTTCCTGTTGCGTCTGCGTACATGATTCTTACCCAACTTCTGAAGTTCGGGCCTACTCCCATTTTTTCCGTGCATGCGTGGAGAAAATCCAAGTTCACTTGGTCGTAGGCCTTCTCGAAGTCGAAGAACAGGATTGCTGCCTTCATTCGTTTCTCCGTGATCTTTTTTGTTGCCTCATTCAGAGTCATCACGTTGTCCAATATGTAACGACCTGGGATGAAGCCTGCTTGATCGATGTGAAAGCAGTTGTTCGTTAGTTTTGTAATTTTGTTCGCTAGCGCCTTGGCTAGGATTTTGTACGGCGTGGTTAGTAGGGAGATAGGTCTGTAGTTTTTCAGGTCTTCTTCGTCACCCTTCTTGTACAGCAGTGAAACCACGCTGGTGCTCAGTTCCTTTCCTAGGCTTCCTTTGCGCATGCTCTCGTTGAAAAATTCGAGTAGGTCCTCTCCCAAGGTCGGCCAGAAGCAGCTCCAGAATTCCTTAGAGAGGCCGTCAATGCCCGGGGCTTTGTCATTTCCCATGTGGTTCAAGGCTGTGTGTAGTTCGGCCAGGGTCGGTGGTTCCTCCATGCCTTCCGCCTGGCTAGACGAGATGGTTCTGTCGAGGTACGATAGCATCAGTTGGCGGGCTGCTAGGTTCGCTGTTGTCGGGGGTGAGGGGGTCTTGGATTCGTAAAGATCTGCATAAAAGGATCTGGCTATCCCTACCATCTCAGGGCCTGTAGTTTTTGTGCTTCCTGCGTCCGATGGGTCTTTGAGTGCCTCTATCATGTTGTTCCTAGCGTTCGCCTTTATTTTGGAGAAAAAGAATTTTGTCATAGACTCGTTAAGAGCATAGTCTGTCATCCTCGCACGTATTTGTAGACCTCTAAGTTCCCATCTCCTCCATTCATTAGTTCTTCTTTGGTATTGTCCAGTAGTTCTTGGTAGAAACTGCTGGTTGGATCCTCCGCTAGATTTTCTTTTGCGACGGCCATCGCGAATTGGAGTTCTTCCCTTCTTCTTTTTCGGTCTCTAGCAATATCTCTTGATTCCGCTGAGACTGCCCGTGTTAATTCTGTGTAGCTGTCAATAAACCACTGGTGGCTGTATGTCCTCTTTGATTCTCGCTGTTTATTGATGGCCCAGTTTTCTTGGACCGTCGTCGTCATTCTTTCGGTTTTTAATAATGAGTTGTTTAGCTTGAAGAAGCCTTGGCCTGTTTGAACTGGTACGTTGAAATTGAGCAGCATCTGGATGGGTTTGTGATCTAGTCCTTTGAAGGCTGCTGATGGGAGGATTTCGGCCACTTTGACTGTTCCGAGTAGGCTCTCGGATATGAGGAAGTAGTCAATCCTGGACAGTGCAGTCCGGTTGGCTTGGTTCCTCCTTATCCGGGAAAAAAAATTATTGTCCGGGTGCAGTGCCCTGAGGGGGTCGCAGAGTTCGAATTCAGTCATCAGGTTCCGAATTCGGGTGCCCGCTCTTGTGGGTCCCATTAGTATCGTTCTTGAGATTCGGTCCAGGTTTGGGTCCAGGGTTGTGTTCCAGTCCCCTGCGATGATTATTGGCTGTGGGTTGGGGATGAGGGATTTGATGTTCTCGAAGAAAATCAGTCTGTCGGATTTCGTGTTTGGTGCGTAAAGGTTGAGAATTCGCAGATCCTCGCCTTGCCACTTGATGTCCAACCACGACCATCTCCCTTCCTCCCTATCCCCCTCGTTGTTTAGGATCTGCCCTTTGAGCACATGTTTTTTTTGTTTTTGTTTTTGTAACAAACAGGGCCTTATGGCCCTGGCTCCTTATCCATTCTGGGAAGCATCAGTCCGGTTCCTATTCCACTAGCAAGTCAAGATTACAAAATACAACACACTCAAAATCCTTCCGCCCGTTGCGGTTGGAAGACCCAAATGGGCGGCATTGATTACGTCCATACTGGAAGGATGTACCTCCCCTCACCCCTACGTAAGTTAGCCTGTTGCTACTACATCTCTCTCTCTCTCTCTCTCTCTCTCTCTCTCTCTCTCTCTCTCTCTCTCTCTCTCTCTCTCTC